CCCCAAAACCCCAAAACCCCAAAACCCCGTAAAATCAAAATAAGTAATATAAACTGAGAATAGGAAATTAATCAAGAAGTTTAGTGTTTTTATTAAAGTGATTTAGAATTAAAGGAATAGAATATGTTCTATATGATTACATTCAAGTACCTCATTTTCAATTCCACTTTCTTTTTGCTGGCTTTAAAGTCTAATTTGTTTCCATCATTGTTTACTGTTAATTTTCTCAGTTTCATTTTCTGGTGGTTGTAGGTGGTGGTGGTGGAGGAGGAGGGTTTGTTCTTCCTCCAGAATGAGAGCCAGTAGGAGGAGGTGGACGACGAGTAGCTTCTGGATCTGGAGGAACACTAACCCCAGGTGAAACTACTCTTCCAGGTAGAGTTGAAGGAACTTATTGAGCATTAACTATGGCTAAGGTTAGCATCACTATCATTAGTGCGAGTAGGTTGAGAACTTTCATCGGGTCTGAAATCTTTTATTTTTTATTTTATTAATTATATAAGTCTTAACTTCAGTCCTTAAATACTTATTGTCATGAAATTTTTAGCAGGAATAACTCTTTTTGAAATAGTAGCAACTCATTGACGATATATTTGATGTCAAATAATAATGATTAAGTAAGATTTGAATGATTATAAATGAGCTAAACTAACAATAGCTTTACCAATAATTTCTAAGGGAAATAGATAAGATAATTTCATAGTTCAGAAAACATGAATAAACCTAAACAATTTTTATATCTTAATCACTAATAGGTATTTTGATTTCCTCTTCATTCTCAAACTTAATCTTGTCTGCTTGATGATTAGAATTAACTAATGAAATGAAAAGCCTAAATTTGAATGATAAACCATTCACCAAAATGACTAAAACGAATTGAGCATATCATTTAATTGCAATTAATAGCATATTCTTAATAGACTTTAATTTGGCAATAAAATTTTAATCAAAACTGTAATTTCTACTATGCTACTAATTTATATTTGAGGGGTTTTGGGGTTTTGGGGAGATCGGAAGAGCACACGTCTGA